TCCAAACCACCAACGCTCTGCAAACCCTAGCTGCTCTACCCTAATTCGCAGATCTGATTCAGGTTCCTCCCTTTTTCCTGCTTATTATTGCTCGTAATTGGCCCCGGATTGATTGCATTTAGTTTATGAAGCCTTGATTGTTCGTCAATGATCATCAATGAACGGTCTGGCTGAATATCTATGGCTGCGTCTGATGCAGAATGATAATGTCTGCTGTCATCACGAGGTAGTTTGTGACAGAAGATAATGAATCTTTGTTTTGCTCTTTATAGGAAGTGGTTAGTCGTTTTTTCTTTCTAAGTTTGGGGTCTGAAAAGTTTTAAGGTTTGATGTACTCTTTAACTATGGTTTATTGTAGGAAGGGGAAAAAAAATCAATTTTTAAGAGAACTGTTTGAGGATTGATTGATAGCTTTAGAGGGGGATCATTGACCGCAGGTTATTTTGTAAGTTCTTGGGTAGTCATTTGTTTAATAGGCTTGAAAGAATGGATTGATGTGCTTGAGAATTCTGGCATTTTGGAGGCAAGTTGGTTTGGTAATTAAGGCTGAGAAAAGGAGGGGGAAGGGATGCAAATATTTGGGATCCCTGATTACATATGTTTCGTCATCTTGGGTGGTTAATTGGTTTGAATAATAAAAGTGCGTCAGTGAAGAAGTTACCAGATGCAAAGCCGCATCCGGCTCAGGTCAAGCCGGAGCCCATGTTGGACGCTATGCAAGAGATTGCTATTTACATCCATAGGTTTCACAACCTTGATCTCTTCCAGCAAGGGTATGAGCATTTTAATTGATTTTTTGGTTATGCAAATTTCTTTTTTCTTATGGTACTCTTATATTTTGCTGTAGATGGTATCAAGTTAAGATTACCATGAGATGGGAGGATGATGAGAATGCTTCAAGTGCTGCTCCAGCTAGAGTTGTTCAGTATGAAGGTAATGTGGTGAAATGATAAAGGCTATACGGTATTCTTCTTCTGCTCATTATGCTTTTGCCTTCAGTTCCATCACAAGTAGAAGTTCAACTCTGGAATGTGATTATAATTTACATGGCATCTGGAATGTAGTCTACTTGCTAGCGTTTGCTACTGAAACCAGTCCCTTTAGTGATCCAAACCTGAATCTTGTAGTTTATTCAATTGGAAAGGTGCTCCATTTTTGTATTTTTATTTTTTGATAATGAAAGGTGCTCCATTAATTGAAAGATAGATTGGTATAGCTGATTGATTGGCCAAAACTTTTATGATGCAGTGCAACTGGACAAAGTTTATTTCCTTTCAAGGCTTCACCATTGTTATTCTTAGAAAAGCTTGACCCCTGGTCCTTTTGTCTAAGAAAGTCTTGTTTAATAATTAGCATAAAAAAAAAGTCTTGTTTCAATATTCAATAATGAAGATGTTAGAAAGAAAGATTTATTCAATTTTAACACAACACCCCCCCCCCCCCCCCCCCCCCCCCCCAAAAAAAAAAAAAAAAGAAAGGTTCTTTTCATGAAGAGAGGAAGAATGGATGGCCAAACCTTGTCTTTTCAAAGCAGTCCCATTAAGTAAAATGTGCCTATGCTGGCTTACTTGGGTTTCTGGAAATTTTTAAATCAAGATAATTTCATTTTAGTTTAGGATTTTGATTTCTCATGCTGTTATGCTCTGCATAGAACTACTTTTTACATACAAATTTAGATACCATGATTTCTTACTGAGCTTGCCATGTTTTATGCTGTCTTTCTTCATTTTTTCTTTAGAAAGAACTTTACAAGGTAAGGAATAATAACACCCTTCTTTTTAGCAACAGCTCCTAGTCTTGGTTCTGATGCTGCTGTTTACGGAGTGTGGAGGATTGATGATAAGGACAATAGTTTCTCTACACAGCCCTTTCGGATCAAATATGCAAGGCAGAATGTTCCCTTATCTATTTTAGTTGCATTTGACCTTCCTCTTAGTAAAAGTGGGGTAGGCAATTTCTCTCCCTCTTCTCTTCCTCTCCCAAATCTCTGTGAGCAGCCTTTTTTACATAAGTTGCCAGCAGGTATATGGGCTCTGAAGCCACTGATAGTGCACATGTTCATTATTATTTACTCTTACCCTTCATTTTTAACACAAGAAAAGATGCTGTGCCAATTGCTTCTAAGGCAAAGGATGCTAAAATCTATACTCCAACTGCTTGGAAAATAACAATGTTAAAAGTTCTTTTTCTAATTTGTACCGGGAATCTGGCCTTTAATCTTTATCAAAGTTTTGGAATTAAGATCCAGAAAAATCATTCCTGTTTTTGTCTATTTTAGTGGTTTAAAAGTCTATATTTTTTATGCTGTATTGTAGTGTTGAGATGACATTTAATTTGCAGGGTGCTTCCTCATCAGCTATCATTATGAAGTTTGAGCTTTTGTATGCTTCCATATGGGAGAATGGGTAAGTCAATCATTCTCACCTTTAAGAATATAATTTTTGAAATGGATACCCATAATTGATCAAGGTGCACTATGTTCAGTTCTGAATTTGAAGCTTCTATTGATTCTTGCCCGGCTGCAATCCATGAATTTAGAATTCCTCCAAAAGCTCTGTTGGGACTTCATTCATATTGCCCTGTCCATTTTGATGCGTTTCATTCTGTACTTCTTGATGTGACTGTTCACATCAGTCTGCTTAAAGCTGGTCCTAGCAAGGCTGTTTCGAAGCTACACAGGTTTGTCACAGACTCTAGATTCACAGTGGCTACTTGGTGTCGGTGCACAAGCACTCCTCCCCCATTGGCTGTTTTATATTTTTTTTAAAGAAAATTGCACTTTACCGAGTGCACTTAGCATTCTCCATGGGTAATAAGCCTTTCAGAGTTGGGGTGGGGTGTGTTTTTTTGTTGAAGAAACTTGATCCATTGCTTTTTTCCAGTGTTTCTTATACTGCCACTGAAGATGTTGCTGGTGAAAGAATCGTTGGATCTAATCAAGTATGTACTCATTTCTAAGGACATGCCCCAAAATATGCCTCTTTCTAATCTTGCTTGTGCTAAATTTAAGAGTGTATGGATGTTCTCTTCTCTTTGTGTTTGGTCACACTGTACTAGGCTTCTTGCAAATCCCTTCAGGATGTGAACACTCTTGGTTCTTAACTTTTAGAGTGTGCATAAGCAATTAGGTCTGTCTAGGTAGGTGTAAGAATTTAATTTACATATTTATGTGGATTCCTGGACATCCATGTGTGCTTATCTGTATAGATTGAGTTGGGTATGCCTTTAAAAAATTTTAATATTGATGAGGTTAGTGAAACAGTATTAGTACATATTAGTACATATATGCTTTTGTTTCCACAGAAATTCTGAGTCTAGCATGATGCCAAGTGTATAATAGCTTGAATGGATGATTGTAAAT